AGATAGATAGATAGATAGATAGATAGATAGATAGATAGATAGATAGATAGATAGATAGATAGATAGATAGATAGATGAAAGCAACAACAGGACCAATCAGGAAAGCAATATAACGGACATGTATCCTCTACCTGTATTTCAGGAGGAATATAAACCTGGCCAAGCCCTGGCTGAGGAAGATCTGAAAAATGCCATCAGCATCCATCATTCACTGGCTACCCAAGCATCAGATTACAGCAAAAGACCCAACGTTTTCTACCTCAGGACAGCTGACTGGAGAGTCTTCCTCTTCCAAGCCCAGTAAGCAGGAGGGCACAGAATGTAAATCAGATGCCTCTAATGCCGGGGGAGGGAGATTGATTTATCGGCAGATCAATTCTATTCATTAGAAGGAAAATTCTAGAAGTAAAATTAGAAATTTTACTTATTACATTATTAGAAGGATATTTGGTTGCTTAGACATATCACAACAGGTAATATCAGAAAAAGAAAAAGAAATACAGCTACTTTTTGTCTGTATATGAGCTCCAGTGGTGCAGTAGTTAGAGTGCAGTACTGCAGGCTACTTCAGCTGACCTCTAGCTGCAGTTCAGCCATTCAAATCTCACTGGCTCAAGGTTGACTCAGCCTCCCAACCTTCCAAGGTGGGTAAAATGAGGAACCAAATTGTTGGGGCAATATGGTGACTTTGTAAACCGCTTAGCGAGGGCTGTAAAAGCACTGTAAAGCGCTATATAAGTCTTAAGTGCTATTGCTATTGCTATCACTGAATGCAGCCTTCCTGGTTACATCCTTTCCTTTCTCAACTTTCAAACAAAAGATTTTAACAAAGCAGCACTGCATCTTCATATTCCTTAAAATTCCAGGTTTAAGAACAAAAAGCTATATAAAGCTTCACATTCACACTAAGGACCATTTGGAACGTTACCATTTCCCCTCGATCACTGCAACAATAGCCAAAAACCCTTTATGGTAAGCAGCATATTAGCATAAGATACATTATTTTGCCACCCCTTACACATGTTGGGATATCATATGGATTTTGGCTTTGGTTCTTCCCCTTAGCTTACTTCAGGGGGTGTCAAACTCAAGGCCCGCGGGCTGAATTCAGTCAGCCAGATGCTTAAATCTGGCCCATGGGGCTGGCCTGGAAATATCAAAGGACCGGCCCATGGTGCCTCTGCCAGCTGAAAATGGACCACATGGGCACCCCCTTTTTGGCCCATTTTCAGCCAGCAGGGTGCAGCAGGAGGCCATGGAGAGCAAAAACGAGGCATAGGGGAGACACGCACAGCCCCTCCATGCCCTGTTTTGGATGGTAAATTGCTGTAGGAGGCCTTTCAGGCCAAAAACAAGACAGAGAGGTTGCACATGCTCTTCCGCGCCCCATTTGGCTGGCAGGGTGCTGCAGAAGGCATCCGTCCAGTCACTACCCCACCCAAACCCCTGCCAAGCATGTAGAGGACAACTACAAAGCTGATCAGGCCTTCAAAGAAATCCAGGTTTTTTTTAAGTTTTTAAAAAAGTTTTTTATTTGTTCATTTTCTTAACATATTACCACATGTATACTATTACATAGTCAACATCATATTGTATTATTAAATGTTTACATCAGTTTGTCTTGCCATCAACTCCCAAAAACAATTATTGGCTCTTCTGCTCTCCATACACCATAATTGTGCCTTATCCATCCCTTTCTTCTCCCACTCTCCTCCCCCTCCTATCTCCTTTCTTCCCTATGTCGCCCTTCTCTTCTCTACTTCCCCTTCCTCTCTCCTTCTCTCTCCCCTTTCCACTCCTCCTTTCTCTCCTGCTCTCCCCTGCCCTCTCTCCTATCCCTCTCTTCTTCCCTTATCTCTCCCCTCTACTTCACACTCTTCAGCTCATTTATTTGGTGTATTTCAGCTTCTGAGCGAGCTCCATGTTATGTTGATGGTATTTATAATTCCTTTTCAATATACATATTTAATTTTAACATATATCTTCCTCTTTTTAAAGAGAAAAAAGTATACATATATAGTTATTGTGCTTTTAAACCCACCCACCTCCCCCCAGCCTCATTTTGGCTGAGATGTAGACCTGGTTACAATTCCCAGCTATTTTCATCATTATATTTATATAATTATGCATCCTTACACCCCCCACTTTGTGATTCTGTCTTTAAATCTCAATAGTTTCCCATTGTAAGTATATTTCATGTTACCTCTCCGTTTTTCCATATCTTGGTTTAGGTTACCCTTAATTATCTATAAATGGCAATACTTACTGTTCAATGTTCATTACAATTCCCTTAATCTAGTATATAGAATAACAAGTGGTACATATCTCATTTTATTCATCATCTTAGAAGTTCTATATATGNAAAAAAAAAAAAAAAAACTACCTAAGTAATTCTCATTCATTTTATCTTAAAATGCGATTATTGGGCCTGTTGACTCATTCTACCCTGAAGTACTGCTGAATAGTCTGCACTTTATGCCATAGGGGTGTCAAACTCGATTTCATTGAGGACCACATCAGGATTGTGTTCAGTGGTGGGATTCAGTTTTATTTACTACCGGTAAAAAGGGCATGGCATGGCTTGGTGGGCGTGGTTTGGTGCACATGGCAAGGGAAGGATACTGTAAAATCTCCATTCCCTCCCGATCATCTGGGATTCGGGAGGCAGAGAATAGATGGGGGTAGGGCCAGCCAGTGGTGATATTTACTGGTTCTCTGAACTACTCAAAATTTCCGCTACCGGTTTTTCAGAACTGATCAGAACCTGATGAATACCACCTCTGGTTGTTTCTGACCTTTGGGGGTGTGTGGCCAGCTCGACGTCACTGGTGTTGGGGGAGCCTGTGGTGGCCTGAGCACTCTGCCAGCAAAACGGGCTCTCAAGCTCCATTTTCAGCTGTGACATCCTTCTGCAACCGTCTGCCAGCAAAAACAGAGCTCGGAAGGCCTGCACTCAGCCCTCTTAAGCTTCATTTTCACTGGCAGAGATACTGTGGGCTGGTCCTTCACTGTTTCCAGTCCAGGGTGGCCCCACGGGCCAGATCTAAGCACCCTGCAGGCAGGCTCCACCTCCCAGGCTTTGAGTTTAATACCCCTGCTCTAACCCATCTTAAATATTTGTAGATATTTCAGAATACACAGAGGGAGAAAATACTGTACAAGTATTATGCAATTGTGCAAAAATGCTATAAACTAGGAATGTTTTCAGAAATAGTAGTAGTTTAATCAATCAACAAAATAGTAAATGAATAAAAGAATTCCAAATCAATATTTGGTGTGCCTTTGCCTTCAAACCACCATCAATTCACATCATAAGGTAAAGATTCCCCTCGCACATATGTACTGGTCGTTCCCAACTCTAGGGTCCAGTGCTCATCTCTGTTTCTAAGCCGAAGAGCCAGTGCTGTCTGAAGAGATCTCCATGGTCATGTGGCCGGCATGACTAACCACTGAAGGTGCATGGAATACTGTTACCCTCCCACCAAAGGTGGTTCCTATTTTTCTACTTGCATTTTTATATGTTTTCGAACTGCTAGGTTGGCAGAAGCTGGGACAAGTAATGGGAGTTCACTCCATTACGCGGCGCTAAGTATTTGAACCGTTGAACTTTCTGATCGACAAGCTCAGCATCTTAGCCATTGAGCCACCGTGTCCCCAATTCACATCATACGCCATGGAAAAACAGCACAGGAACAAAACAATTGTTATACTGCATCAGCAAGTTCTCTCTCAGGCAGATTTTAAAGCAGACTCTGCTTTCAAAATGTGCTGTTTAATCTCTTTTGAAGAAGCACAAAGAAACCGGTGACATTGAGGACCATTGACAGTGGTCGGTCAAGGAAACTTAATGCAGTATATGAACGACACATCATGCTTCCTTCCCTTCAACATTGGATGATTTCCAGCAGTGCCATCAGCAGAAAATCATCAGAATCCAGTAGGACCCAGGTACACCCATCTACTGTTCAAAGAAATCTGGCCAGAAGTAGTGGTCATGGAAGAATTATGGCCAAAACCTATGTGAAAACAAGGCTAAGCATCTTGACGCTGCATGAAAAGATAGGATAGGAACTGGGGTGCGGAAAAATGGCAGCAGGTGATGTGGACCAGGATGGATTTTATTTAAATCAACTGGATTTAAATCATAATTTTTAAAGAGCAGCTGTCATCTCTGTCCCACGGCAGCTCCTTCTCTGACCTGCTGTTGACTCACCGACCATCCCATTCACTTTAATGGGACGGCTGGTGATGCGGCAGTGATACAACAAGGTAAGGGACATGGCAGGCAGCAGGTGATTTGATGCCTGCTAACAGGTGCTGCCATGATGTATCTGAAATGACAGGTGCTCTTTAATATTACATTTATAAGCTGCTTAGAAGGTTTCACTTTCATTTTTACTGCTTTCCCTTCCTCCTCACGCTTAGAGCCTGGTGGTACAGGTGCATTTCTCTTCGAACAATCATACCGTTTGTAGCGTACATAGATTTGCAAAACAATGGGATAAAGGAATATTCCTGAACTTCGTTTTATGATTTATATCTCATGATTAGTGTGAAATTGTGTGAATGAATCAATGCAGTTCATGTTCTCCCAGCTTGCAGAGCTTGGATTTATTGAATGAGTTTACAAAAAATGTAAATATTGCAGAATAGACAGCCTCATGCTACACAACTAAGCCCCATTTCATGCTGCATAAACAATTATTAGTGTCTCTTAAATAGAAAACTATCTTTAGATAGATTTTTACTCCAAAAGCATTTTATTAAAATAAATTTGATAAAAATAAAACATTTTTTTAAACGTTAAAAAACATTTTTTATCCACCCTGCTCTGGACAGATGAGTCAAAGTTGAAATATTTGACTATAGCAGGAGGCAGTTTATTTGCTAAAGGGCTGGAGAGCGGTATAACAATGAGTGTCTGCAGGCAGCAGTGAAGCATGGTGGAGGTTCCTTGCAAGTTTGGGGCTGCATTTCTGCAAATGGAGTTGGAGATTGAGTCAGGATCCATGGTGTCCTCAATGTTGAAAAATACAGGCAGGCACTTATCCATCAGGGAGCCGTTTGATTGTCCCCAAATTTATTCTAAAGCAGGACAATGGCCCCAAACATATAGCCAATGTAATTAACTATCTTCAGTGTAAACAAGATCAAGAAATTCTGGAAGTAATGTTTTGTCCCCCTCTAGAGTCCTGACCTCAACATCGAGTCTGTCTGAGATTATATGATGAAACACAAGAATTTGACAGCCTACACCAGGGGTGTCAAACTTGATTTCATTGAGGGCCACATCACGGTTGTATTTGACCTTGTAAGGCCGGGAGGATATGGCCAGGATGGGCATGGCCAGCTTGACATAATTTGTATCGGGGGCTTGTGGCCTGAGCGCTCGCGGTCCTCCGGAGCTCAGTTGTCATTGGCAGAGGGTTGCAGGAGGTCGTCACAGCCTAAAACAGAGGACGGGGGCTGCACGCAGTCCTTCCAACTCCATTTTCGCTGGTAGAGGCACTGTTGACTGGTCTTTTGGTGTTTCCAGGGCAGCCCCGAGGGCCAGATCTAAGCACCTGGTGAGCTGGATCTGGCTCGCAGGCCTTGAATTTGACACCCCAGGCCTACATCCATAGATCTGTGGTTAGGTTCTCCAAGATGTTTGGAACAACCTTGAAGGAACCTTGCCAAGTTTCTTCAAAAACTGCGTGCAAGTGTACTTAGATGAATTCATGCAGTTATTAAAAGCAAAGGATGGTCACCCCAAATATTGATTTGATTTGGATTTCTCTTCTGGTATTTTCCATTTAGCTAATTGTTAAAAATAAACTATTAACACTTCTATTTCAAAAAGGTTTAATTTACAGTATTTTTGCACAACTGCCTAACACTTTTTGCACAGCACACACATACACACACACACTTTCCTTTTTATTTTAATAAATTGTGATTTCTGTTCTATAACCAAATAAAGATTTGATTGATAGTAACCAGAGAAAATGGAAAGGGAAGATGCTTCTTTTTAAAAGGTTTATAGCAGAGGTGAAATGCAACTGGCTCAGACCATTTTGCTCAAACTGGTAGTAAAAAAATGCTACTGTTTTCCAGTGTGTGATGTGGGAGGGGCTACCTGTGGGATATCAACACAGCCTGATGGGTCCAGAGACTGAGGGAAATTCTTCGCCATGCCTCCTCCTTCCCTTGGCTCCCAAGGTTCCTTCAGTCTTTGGTCCAAGCAGATTGTGTTTTGGCTCCTGCTTGAGGAAACCTACCGTCTATTCCAGTGGTTCCCAAACTTGGCAACTTTAAGACTTGTGGACTTCAACTCCCAGAATTCTCCAGCCAGCAGAGAATTGGGAGTTGAAGTCCACAAGTCTTAAAGTTGCCAAGTTTGGGAACCACTGGAATAGACGTTAGGTTTCCTCAAGCAGGAGCCAAAACACAATCTGCTTGGACCAAAGACTGAAGGAACCTTGGGAGCCAAGGGAAGGAGGAGGCATGGCGAAGAATTTCCCTCAGTCTCTGGACCCATCAGGCTGTGTTG